CTTATGTTCAGTAGGGCCAAGGGTCAATATCGAGAGACGGAGGTAACAGGATCTTTGAAGGTCAGCTGGTCATCAATCATGAGATGAGTCAGAGACAGGGATCCACACTGGATGTGAATATTTTGGTGTGTGGTTGCATTGGCTTGGAAAACAAGCATTTGAGTTTTTGAGAGAATTCAGTTGGAGGTGATGGGCTTTCATCTGTTTTGATATGTCAGAGAGACACCCTGAGATGCGTGCTGAGACCGTGGAAATGACAGATAGAGCTGGGTGTTGTCAGCATAACAGTGGTATGGGAAACCCTGTGACTAAATGATCTGGTTTCAGTCATCTTTCACTTTTAATGCATTTCATGTCATTTTTTAGCCTGTTCAGGATTCTCACAGGCATATTTTCCCATAATGCTGAAAGTCAGGACTACTCTCATTATTTATTAGCATATCGACCATTTAACTGACCCTGAAGACCTGCAGGCAGGTGAAGACATGCATTGACACCTCACCAGCAGAATGAGAACCAGCTTTGAAGGCAGGGCTGAAGCGACCAGGTTAGGGAGGATTTCCAAACAGTCGGTCTGTAAAGCTGAACCGTCAATGTTTTTATTTCTACATTTTAAATGCTGTTGTGCTGCCTTACTGTGGTTGGAGGTGGATCGGATGCAACATCTCTTTGTTTCCATCGGATAGTTTCCAAAGTAAGGGAGATATGAACATCAACTCTAACATGGAGGAAAGGTGGAGAGAAAAAAAAAAAGAAGAAGTGGACTAGACTGGGAAAGAGGCCTAAAACAATGATAATGTGGCTGTTGATAAAAGAAAAGAAAAAAAAGACCCTTTCCTCATACAGTTGTTGCATTTTATAGGGAAGTGTAAACATTTTTTTAAAAACAGATCTGTAGATCAGAATCTGATGAGAAGCTTAAGTACAAAGTACTTTAATTATAAGTACTTATCATCTCTTTTTATTTATCTTTCCTATTATTTGTAAAGTGACATTGAGTGTCAAAAAAGGCGCTGCTAAATAAAATGTATTATTATTATTATTATTATTATTATTATATTTCCTGACTTTTTATGTAAATAGGCTGGTTTCTTTAAATGCATTAATTTATGAATGTAGGTGACAGGTCACTTGCTAATGAACTGTTTTATAAGGATTGAAATTTATCTATTTGAAAACTTAAAGCACTTTAACCAACACAGAATGATTTAAAGTATTTGAACAGACGGATCAGAAGATGTCTGATAAAGGAACTGATTTTTTTTATTAAAAAGTAAAGATGTTTCTCTAAATCAAATGCTGGTTCGTTTAAGATTCATGGATTCTTTGTAAATAATCTTGTTGATGTTTTCTATAAAGTATGAATAACAAGATAATAAAAGTTAAAAAAAACATTTTATTGTATTTCAAGTTTTATTTACTATTGACTGTTTATTAAAATAAAGTGAACTTTAAAATGTTTAAATTATCTTTTGTCTAGTGCTGCTGCTCTATCAGCTCCTTGTGTCTATTACTGTAGTTTATTTTAAACTTTAAATTATTGCCAAGGGAGCGTTTTTAAGCCAACCTATTGCTGTTCTATTATAGTCATACTGTTACTATTGCACTACATTTTTATATTGGTTCATATGATATGTGCCTATGTCATGAGAATCTCATGTTCAGATAAAAACTTTCCTAATCTGTCTAGACCAGACATGTCCAACCATGGATCAGTCTCCTGCAGGCTTTAGGTTTATCACATCTGATGCAGATGAAATGCCCAAAGGAACAGCTTTGTGGTCTCAATTGACCGTCTCTTTTGCACNTGTTTGTTCACAAAACAGGACCTGAAAACTGCATACATAGGCACAAAGGTTGTGATTTTTTTAGGAACAAATTTTTTAGTGAAAATGTGCTGCCTAATAAAGAAACTGACCCATTGTACAGTTGCATATATTTTGGAGAGAGGGGGAAATCGGCGAGACACAGCTACTGACTGAGGGGAACTGAAGCCAGATTACATCATAATTGTTCTCATGCATTTAATATCCATTTCTGTATAAAGATGAACAATTTGGAAATGGAAGAATTAGGGGGGAACGCATTTTCAGGGATTATCAGTGTTTTCTTACCGGAGATTATGATCAGTTATCAGCTGATCAGACTCCATAGAGACCCACAGCATCCCTGTTTATAACAGGAGGTCAGTGCGCATTAATCCAAAGGGTAGGTGGGGGCCCGGTTCTAAAGAAACACAAATAAATATAAACAAACTGTGGAAATGTAAAATATATTAATGAATTATAAATGTAAAGAATTTCCATGTATAATATTATTTCCACTTCTGGATTATGGTCCCATCAGTGCTCTCTGGAACATTCAGAAGTTTGGAAATCCTTTAGTAAAAAATGCCATCATTACACGCTGAGCAAAAATTGGTTGAAAAGACGACATGATTTAAGTCCAAACGACTTCTAAGTTTGGTTGAAAAGTGAAAAGCTGTTTACTTTAGATAGTTGAAAAAAGACGTTGGAAACTGGGTTTTCAAGTCTTTTTAATGTCTTATTCATTCAGATTTGTTATTTAGTCTCATGGTTTATGCTAAGATTTTTTTCCGTGGTGTATTTTGATTTTGAAGTTTGGGAAATAATTGACTTAACAAGGTGTCATTATTTGGGAGTCAGATAGAATTAAGCTACAGAAGTTCAAAGATTTATAAAACAAAAGAAAAATATTTCCTGTTTACCTTTATTTTCCTATTTTGTTAGATTGTTTACTTTGACTTTACTAGTTACTTTTCGCACGGCTATAGTTATGAACCATGTTATATATTATATAGTTATAGTAATTCTCTAATAGATACTGTTCACACCACTGACTGCACATGGCATTGACTATCAAGGTGGGGATGTGTCCTCCCTTTTATAGCTATGCTCCAATCCTTCTGTTCAGTGATGTTACACTTACAGTAAACAGAGAGAAACAACACGCTACATAGGACTATACTATATATGTGGCAATGGGAGCCTCAGAGGTTCCTTTGATCGTACCTTGCATTTTCTCCTTCTGGATGTTTTTGTTCTGTTAAATGTAAGCTCAGGTGCTTAATTATGTCTGTACGACATTAAACTATTCCAGATCAATCAACATATAAAATCTTTTTTAAATTGCTGGGTTTCTATTTAAATAGCAGCCCATCAGTTAGCTGTTTTCAAATGGTTAATATTTCAGTTTTAATTATAAAGAAATATATAGTCATTTTTGTTTCTTAACTGACTTCATTCTGATGTTTATACTTCTGTTATTGTATGTAAAACCCGCTTTATGCCGTCTTCCATGCTACTAAATAGACCATTTTGCATTTTGACTGGAATTTACTGCCGTTGACAACAATTATGCTTGGGTAAATTTAAGATTTAGTCGTAAATCAGGTTAAATGTTTAAAGAATTGCAGTAATCAGAATCAGAATTACTTTATTAATCCCTTGCAGTAAATTATTTTCTTACAGTGCACCCGTTTACAGAAGAGAGAAAAATAGGACTGCAAATACAATAGGGCAAAATAGAATATAATAAGACAGAATAAAATAAGTTAAATAACAACCCCACACAGTAGAAACTACACCCTCTCACACAAACAGGGCAAAAACAATGAAAAAGAATAAAATAAGGTCTCAGTAAACACAATCAACAGTAACCACAATGCTGCTTACCATTGTGGATACATTTTACAGCATTGGCTTTGAAAAGATGTTTTATTAATGATAAATGTAGTTTCATTTTAGGTGGTTTTATATTTAAGTGGTTTTATAACACACTGTTCATTGCTTTGTCCTTTTTATAATAATAATTGATTTCATTTAGCACTTTGGTCAGCTTTGGTTGTTGTACAAATGCTTAATAAATAAAACAAAACAGAATTTTTTCCTCATTTATTAAGAAATACAAAGAAATATAACAGAAATATAGTTGTAGGAACAGTCTTGGTGATTATATATGTGACCAAGGTGAAAACAGACTACAGTGAATAAATGAAGAAAACAGGTGACAAGTTGTATTTGACTGATCAGAGGTCATATTTGTGCAATATAACAACAGAATAAAACTATTTGTAACAAGAAACAAAAGCTTCTATTTATCTATCAGGCTTAAAATGACACAGGCTGCCTGTGAAGCCAGTTTAAAAAGAAACTTCTCTAAACAAGTATGAGCTGGAATACCAGCATGATTAATTTTTAATTCATTAATTTCTGTTTATTTATATAGAGCCACTTGACAATACATGCCATTTAAACGCACATAGCAGAGACAATATGGTC